CCGTTTCCAGCCGAGAACACGGACCCTGAGATGCCTGCTCACATCCCGTTTCCCTCCAGAGCCAGTTGCTTATTCATAAAACTTCATAAAAAAGATAGAAAATGAACCTACCCCACAACTGCATGGAGCAGGATAGCACATATGAAATTAACGTCCAGGAGGAGGAATCCAGCAAAAAATATGAGAGAAATCCATACTTACCCTTCACTCCTATCGGTGGGTTGGAAACACCGTTGGGGAGTCTGTTCTTGACTTTCACGCATCTTCCTAACAGGACCGAGGACAGTCGGCCTCCTCCGGTCCCAGAACCCTGAAGAGCCCGTGGCTCATCTAGAACCTTGGAACCGCATGGAACAGGGTCCCACGAGGAGAACACAGACTGGTCTTTCCTGCCTGCACCCCTTGACCACATGGCACAGAGTGGCTGCCAAAGCCCCAGGACCCCGACTCTGACTTCTAAGGAGCAAAAGGAAATTCCTCAGCGGGACCCTGAGCTCAGGCCATCCGACTGTCACTTTCTCTTGTAGTATTTCCCTCTGTGCTTGGACAAAGGGGATGGCACCTTAAATGCGGTGACATCGTCCACTGACTGATGGTCCAGGAAAGAGGGTGGAAGCTAAGTGACCTTGAGCAGGATGGCAGAGCGACGAGGGCCATACACGCTGGCCTGTGAGCGCGAGGGGCAAGCTGGTCGGCGTCCCCAGGCCTGGTCAGGCCCACCGAGTCCTGAGCTGAGACTAATCTGGCCGAACTCTGAGCTTGCAGGGTCGGAGGAGGGAGACCACTGGAGCTTTGGCCTCGTCATCTTCTGAGGACTCAGGAAACTGTGTGTGAACAGTGATGGGTGAACAAACCCACTTTCCTCCCCAGCTCTGCGGAAATGCCAGCGTTCTCTTCACGACACAGGAGTTTAGAAGCAAACTCCCGTCACTCAGCCGTGTATCGACTGTCTGCTCCAGACGGGTCAGCTCACACCCTCCTCAGACCCAGCATTCGCTGTGCGTAAAAATGACTTCTCTGGGGAGAAAACTAAGGCAAAAGTAGCTCACGACTCCAAACAAGACGAGAAGCATGCATGAAAATATTCAAAAGGAAAGACCTGCAACTATCAAACCGCAAACTCTGGCATCGACCCATCACCGAGGCAACCCCTTTGCAACAAACTCTCTCACTAACAGGGAAGTTCCAAACTCAAGTGGAACTACACACCCACTTTTCCCACATAAAAAAGAGAGGCAGAAGTAAACTTAATTTGTGTTTCAGCGAAAACTAAATGAAAATCAACTTAAAGAGGAGTAAGGCCTTTCTCATAGATTAAACAAATGTACGAGATGTTCCTATGCTTTATCAAGCAATGAAAAATCTTAAATTTTAAAATAAAACTTATATAGGTGATAATTATTTTGAAAATTCCATGTACACAGGGGAACCTGGGTGGCTCAGTCGGTTAAGCATCCGACTTGATTAGGGCTCAGGTCATGATCTCAGGGTCGTGGGATCGAGCCCCATGGGCTCCTCCAACCTGAGATCAAGACCTGAGCCGAGACCGAGAGTCGGATGCTTAAACGACTGAGCCACCCGGGTGCCCCATAAACTGGAAATTCTGATGGACACGTGGTGACTGCGCTGCAGGGGCTGAGCACCTCCCACACGGCCCCGCACACCTGCACCTGCTCTCACAGACCCTCACAGGGGAACAGGGAGGGGCTTCTCAAGGTCACAGGATGCAACCAGCGAGACCAACACACATCACCAACAGCTCCAATTTCTCAACGAATCAATGGTACAAAACAGAATAAACAAGATTTCAGAGGCGCCACCTCCAGTGGAACGTGCCCAGACTCCGGTCCCACAGTGAGGACATGCGCGGCTCTGGCTGGACACGGCATGGTGACTGGGAAGTGTTGCTGGCACGTGTGTCGGCCACGCTCGGCAGAGCCCTTCAAGGGACACAGTGCACAGTAAACACTGTGGAGCAAGACACGGAGGGAGAGCAAAGAGACGGGAGGGGCTGAGCTGCAGGAGCCAAGGCAGCGGGTGACGGCACCTCGTCTCCAATTCAGCGCCTATCTGAAGACATCCAAGTACGCGTCTAGACCTTAGGCTCTGGAAGAACCACAGAGCTTTTCCAATTTCGGGAAAATCTGTGATTTAGTGATGCAGACGCATGAGAGACTCTGATCTGGTGTTGGATCCCGCAGACCACGGCCCACACAAGTCTGCAGGGGCCTCTGCTCCATCAGGGCTGTTACTCGTGGGGGGACCGTGAGCGTGACGGGAGGTGACAGCAGTGACCACCCCCCTGGCCTGTGCAGGGAGCACACAGCACCCGAGCTCCATAAATGACCTCCCACCCACCTGGTGACCTCAGGGTCCATGGTAGAGGGACCACACCTCTGTGAATGCGGACAATAAACCACAACAACCACGTCCACATGCCCAAGGATGCTGCAAGCACCACAGAACATGCTGACTCTCACAGCTACTGCACAATTAGGAGCTTCAGACCTGCCATTTAACGATATCATCTGACGTGTTAAGTTCCACATGTTACTTCAGCACACGAGAAGGTTTTCTGAATTTAAAGACTGTGTCTTCATAGTGCTATCCTCCGTTTTACGGTGAATCTCAGGGGAAGCATTAAAAACACTCTGGAAATGGAGGCACCTGGGTGGCTCAGTCGCTAAGCATCTGCCTTCGGCTCAGGTCATGATCCCAGAGTCCTGGGATCGAGCCCCGCATCGGGCTCCCTGCTCGGCGGGAAGCCTGCTTCTCCCTCTCCCACTCCCCCTGCTTGTGTTCCTGCTCTCGCTGTGTCTCTCTCTGTCAAATAAATAAAATCTTTAAATAAATAAATAAATATTAAAAAAAAAAAGCACTCTGGAAAGACAGGTCCACTAGTTGCGTGGCTCTGGCTGGGCGGGGCAGGGTGGCACACATGCATTCAGCTGCGCAAAGACCGGTGCCCAGAGGGGCCTGACCACCTGCTTTGGAGCAGCAGCAACAACCGGCCACCCCTGCCCTTGTAGGGTAGCCACTGAGTACCCTTACTCCACCTCTACTCACCGCCACCCCGAAGTGCACGACCCCATCACTGTCCCCCAGCCTGCGCCCCACTGCACCTGTCCCCAGAAGGCAGAGTCGTCTGTTTCTCCGAGGCCCGTCTCTGTCACTTCCCCAGAGGGACATGTCGGCCGGCAAGGGCCTCACTCGCGGCAGGCATGGGGTTGGGTGCAGGCTTGCCACACACTCACCTGCCGCCTCTGCAGGTCCCAGAAGGGACAACAGCTGACTGCAGAAGCCTGCACCATGCAAGACCGGGAAACACAGGTGCCAACGTGCCGGGGACAGACCACGGCCCACAGAAAACCACACTCACGTCCTGACCCCGCACCTGTGAGCGTGATCTTGTTTGGAATAGGTCTTTGCAGGTTAAGGGGAGGTCATTACGGTGGACCCTGGTTCAGTATGACTATCCAGACACACGGGCAGGAGGCTGTGTGAACAGGGCCGGAGAGGCTGGAGTGAAGCATCCAAAGGCCAAGGAACAGCCAGGATTGCGCGCAGATGCCAGAACTGGACGAGGCAGGAGGAGCCTTGCTGGGAGCCTTTGCAGAGAGTGTGGCCCTGCCCACACTTGGACTTAAGCCTCTGGCCTCCAGGACTGCGAGCGAATGAACCTCTATTGTGTAGACACCAGGTTTGCTTTGTTACGACCACCCCAGGAAACTCTTACCAGCCACGACCTAACTTACACCGACTGCTCGCTTTGTGGTCGCCTGACATGCGGCAGGAAGGATTCCTCCCCGGCGCCCTGTGTCCACCAGCACCCACCCCATCCAACTCAGCAGTGTGCGGTGAAGCTCTTGAGGGGCTCTGCCGTGAGAACCACTGATACAGTCTGCCCTCCACCCGGGAAAGCCATGCAGCAAAGCTGCTGGTGCTCAGAATCCGCAGGTTGGTGGGAACGGGAATGCAGCCCCTCAGCCGCCTGTGGCTCTGAGGCCGGGCGAAGCTCTGGTCCTTCCCCTGCAGGCTGCTGAGGGAGACGTGTGGAGCACGGCACACACCCGCCTGAGCCTGAGCAGTGTGGGGCAGGGGCCACTCCAGAGACACAGAGCAGGAGGCAGCGCTGCGGGGAAGGGTGGACCCAGGTGTATCCTGAGCCCCTGCCAAGGGGTGGTCCGCACACCACCATGGTGCCAAGGCCACCTTCTGCCGGCTCCGGACAAACCCGAATCTATATTGACAGTTACATGTTCATTTCAGGGTATACCAAAAAAAGCAACCAAGGCATCAAACTCATGATTCCATGGCTATTCTCGCTCAAGATGAGGCAAAGATCAGTTTAAGGAAAAAGATGAGCATGAATGATCTCAAGCAAATTTGGGTAATGTGCCACTAAGCTGAGGAGGTGCCCTGCCCTGCTGTGCCTTCTCCAAGGACGGCGTGGTTACTGGTCTCTGAGGAAAAGAACAAAACACATCTGGTGTTTGGCTGATCCCCCAGCCTCTGTGCGGGAGCAGACCTGCCCAACACAGTGATGGAAGGCAGCTTCTCGGTGCTGACACTTCCTGACCTGCTCCTCAGGCCCCTGAGTGCACACGCCTGAGGACACTCACGGCTCTTTCCATGGTGAGCGCACCTCAGGACCACCAACAATCTTCCCGCCACCGGTCACTCGCGCCAGGGTTTGTGGCAGGTGGGTTTCCACCACATTCAAGAAAGCACAGTGACAGCCGCAGCCGTGAAGCCAGAGCAGAGAAGCCAAGTTCCAGATGGCCTGTCGCACCTTGACTGTTCACTACGTGGACCGTTCACCACGTCGTCCAGTCACGTTCAGGAGGCAGGTGTTAAACCAACTTCTCTCTCTCTTTTAAAATATTTTTAAGTTTATTTATTTAAGTAATCTCTACACCCAACATGGAGCTTGAACTCACGACCCTGAGACAAAGTGGAGAATGCTGTTCCTTTTTTTTTAAGATCTATTTATTTATTTGTTAGAGATGATGACTTATTTATTTACTTGTCAGAGAGAAAGTGCGCATACACACATGCAGAGGGAACTGCAGGAGAGTTAGAGGCCAACCCCCCGCGGAGCAGGGAGCCCGACGCAGGACTCGATCCCAGGACCAAGATCACGACCTGAGCCGAAGGCGGACGCTTCACGGGCTGAGCCAGCCGGGCGCCCCCCGTTAAACCAACTTTAACTCAAAGGGACGTCCAAAGACACTGTCACCTTTTCACTCCTTGTTCTGGTCTCATTCTGCCAACATAAGAAAAAAAAATGAGAAAGTCAAGGTTACCCAATATTAAAAACTATTCTGTTCAGCCTCCCAGTGGGCCAGTCATGGACGTGCGTGTGCTGCCCCAGTGGAGACTGTGTCTGCTAAGGGGCTCCGAAAAGGTCTTCAAAATACTCTGAGGTTGAAGGAAAAAGTCTTCACACAAAACGAAAACAATGAAATAACATACAAATGTGTTTCTATATCACCACAGGTGAAGGAAAACAACCGTATTCTTGTGGAAAAACACGTAAGCTTCCATGTACGCAGCTACCCACGTATAACCAGAAGCAAAGAGAGAACGGCAAGCTACAACGAGCAGGTGCACCTCAATGATGCAGTGCCCGACAGAACTACCGAAGCACATGGAGTGAGAGGGGACGACTCCGAAGTGCTCCCCTCACTCAACAAGAGCCTTAGCTTTTGTCTAGGAAGTGTCCGTGTGCTCCTAAATGTCCTGACTCCTTGGGGCGCCTGGGTGGTGCAATCGGTTGAGCGTCTGACTCTTGGTTTCGGCTCAGGCCGTGATCTCAGGGTCATGAGATCGCGCCCCATGTCGTCCGGCTCCATGCTCAGCGGGGAGTCTGCTGGAGCTTCCCTTCCTCTCCCTCTGCTCCTCTCCTGCTCATGCCCTCTCTGTCTCTCTCTCAAATAAATAAATAAAATCTTTTAAAAAATAAATGTCCTGACTCCTTCAGTCTCTCTTCAGAGATAAAAAATTACAGATGGTCACACGGCCAGTAATAGTCACTCCAAATCACAGAACAGGCACTTTGCAATGTTACTAAAAATGTTCAGAACGTAAGAAGACCCTGCGGCCGGCCCCAAGCACTCACCAGCTGTGAGGACCTAGTCTGCAAGACCTCACATCCTCAACTTTCTCTCATCTCAGAAGCTTTGTACAGGGAAACTCCCACCTTTAACGTTTCAGAAGTGGAGGGAGGAAGTACTGACCGAGCAAGACTGAGAGACACACGAAACGAAACGGGAAAATGAGGCGCTGAAT